TCCCGTTAGGAACCGTTCATGCATGACGTCAAGATTAGGGGTGTAAATGATACATTAGTACTCGTAAGCTATTCGGGTTCGATTCGAAAAAAACTTGAATTTTGTTTGATTGTTGTCGAGTCGAGCTCGAGCTCAAGTAGCTCGACTTATCGATCGAACTGAATTTGAGTATTCTTATATTTGACTCGAGTAGTTCGCGAGTCTAATCGAGCTTTTATATTTAAATATATTTTTATTATTTTAATTAATAAAATATTTTGAGTCCGAGTTTGAATTCGAGCATGAATAATCGAACTCTTGTCGAGTATACGAATCGAGCTTATTTTTACATATTAATCGAGCTTAATCGAGCGAGCTCGAGTAGTTCGAATTCGATCACGAATCGAGCTCGAGCTTGAAAAATAAAACTCGATCAAACTCGAGCCAAGTATCGAGCCTCGAATTGTGAGTCGAACTCGAGCTCGAGCTTCTCACTATTCGACTCGGCTCGGTTCGTTTACAGCCCTAGTCAAGACTGATGGGTTTGAGCTTAAAGGCCAGTCCTGGTATGTTCATGGAACTAGATCATGTAATTTTGTGATATATTTGGTGTTTTTTTTGGGTTGCATCATGCATGTGTAATAGTTTCTTGACTACGTTAAAAAAATAAAACAAACAAGTTATATATATCTTTATCCTATAGGAAATATCTTAATTTGTTTCAGAACAAGAACATAGATCAAAGTTAGCTTCTGAAATATTTTGTCTTTTGTGCAGCTTCGCTGCTTCTGATATTCCAAGGGACACTCTATTTCAGGTTGGAGACGTCACTTTCTTTTTTGCACAAGGTAGCCGTTGCTCTGCTTAGATGTTTGTACATTTTTATTTATATTCCTCAAAAGCTTCTAAATTCAATTTTCAGTTACTAAAACGATTGGTCTGCAATCATATGGCTTAATGAATTTCTGAACTTGGGGAAGTATCCCATGCTTTCCAGAAGTGGAAAGATGAAGAAGCTTATATACGAGTCACACCACCCAGACCTGAACAAAATTGCTTTCGAAGATCTTCCTGGAGGACCTGAGGCGTTTGAGCTAGCTGCGAAATTCTGCTATGGTATTGCAGTAGACTTAACAGCGGGGAATATATCTGGTCTGAGATGCGCTGCAGAGTACCTTGAGATGACAGAGGACTTGGAAGAAGGCAATCTTACATTCAAAACTGAAGCATTTCTCAGCTACGTGGTGCTATCCTCCTGGATAGACTCAATTCTTGTACTGAAAAGTTGTGAAAACCTCTCACCATGGGCAGAAAACCTTCAAATTGCGCGAAGATGCAGTGAGTCGATAGCTTGGAAGGCTTGTGCCAATCCGAAAGGAATGAAATGGGCATATAGTGGGAAACCCACTAAAATTTCTAGCCCCAAATGGAATGATTTGAAGAATTCAAGCCCCAGTAAAAGCTAACCTGTTCCTCCTGATTGGTAGTTTGAAGATGTTTCAATCCTCAGGATTGATCACTTTGTAAGGGTTATTACTGCTATAAGGGTCAAAGGAATGAGAATTGAATTGATTGCGGCCTAAATAATGCATTGTACAGCAAAATGGCTTCCAAGTTTGATAAAAGATGGTCAGGGACAACCTGATGATATGAGCATCAGCAGTAGCTGTAAAGGTGGATTCCATATGATTGTAGCGGGAACTAAAAATGAAACTCCGTCCGTTCAGGCCAAAGATCAATGGATGATCATCGAACGTCTGATTAGCATAATTCCACTGCAGAAAGACAGTGTGCCGTGCAGTTTTATTCTCCGGATTTTAAGGATGGCAAACATGTTGAAAGTGGCACCTACTTTGATAACTGAATTGGAGAAGCGAGTAGGGTTGCAGTTTAAACAGGCTGCATTGGCAGATCTTTTCATTCCTTCTTACAATGAAAGTGAAACTTTGTATGATGTGGACCTTGTTCAGAGACTATTGGAGCATTCCCTCGTTCAAGAGCAGTTAGAAAGTTCGAGCCCAAGTAGACAGTTCTTTTCTGACAAACGCATGCATGAAGGAACAAAAAGGGGCAATAATCCAAATGCCAAGATGAGAGTCGCCACGCTAGTTGATACTTATCTTACAGAGGTTTCCAGAGATAGAGACCTGTCTATGACAAAGTTTCAGGTACTGGCAGAAGCTTTGCCTGAGTCTGCAAGGACCTGCGATAATGGTCTTTATCGAGCAATCGATTCCTAAGGTAATGCCCTTTTTCCCCTTTTCTTTTGAATTGATTCTACATGGATATGATAGAGTTAACATGAATATTCCAGTTGTTTGGAAATTCTCATCTCTATTTAACAAATTCACAGGCTCATCCAACACTCTGAGCATGAAAGGAAGCTACTCTGTCGTGTCATGGACTGCCAAAAACTCTTCATCGATGCCTATATGCATGCTGCTCAAAAGGAAAGGCTCCAACTGCGAGTAGTGGTACAGGTGCTCTTCTCGGAACAAGTGAAAATAAGCAATGCATTGGCCAACAGCACCCTCAAAGATCCTGGAGAAACTCAATACCAGCTCTTGATACCGAACCATAAGACATTGCTTGATGGGACACCACAATCATTCCAAGGGTGGACAGCTGCTAAGAAGGATATTAACACACTCAAGTTTGAGCTCGAGAGCGTGAAGGCTAATTACCTTGAGCTCCAAAACGACATGGAGAACTTGCAACGACAATTTGATAAGATGTCGAAGCAGAACATACATCCGCATGGAGCAGCGGATGGAAGAAACTTAGCAAACTCACTAAGATGACAACCTTTGAAAACCACAATATCGGACCTCAAATCTCAACCACAGCAGAACAGACTAGAAAGGCACCTAGAAGATGAAGAAATTCAATTTCATAAAGGCAAAAGGCCAAGAAAAAAAAAGATTAAAGAATGGAGTGCTCTTCTGTAATTCTAATTTAGTCCACTTGGTTTTCAGAGGAAACTAGTGTCAATTGCCCAAATCAAACATAGAAAATCATGAATGAGTTCAAACATACGGACAACTAACTGCCAATAACTTTGTCACGCGGAGATAAGGATAGGATGCAAGCTGTATAAATTAGACCAAAAGCAGAATATCACATGGAGATATTCGTGATTAGACAGATATCATGCAGAAGACAATCATCTAAAATTCATACACCAGAAACAGAAAACCTGCAAATGCATGTGCCTGGTTAAAGGGCAAAGACAAGTCGTACCAACAAAAACAAAATGAAAAGCACACACCTAAGTTTTTATGAATTCTGTCATTTTTGTCTTGGTAACATCATCATCATTCAAAGTTGGTCCTAAACTTCTAAACACATCATCAAGTACCAAGTCACTTTAAGATATTGCAAAGAACCTCCCCTTGTCATTCCAAAAAGTTTTGTCATGCCTCAAGATGTGCTAGTGATTTGGTAAACATGTCATCTTCACTAATATTGTCACTTTTCACATAATATTTGATCAAATAACAGATCAGGAACACAAATGGCAGGATCGGTTATGCTACTGGTTAGTAAGTAAAGAGAGTGGTTTATCCAATATGTTTGATCTTTAACAGCACTCTAAAGACAGAGGGTTACAAAAATTAGAATGATGACTTTGGAATTAAGAACTTCTAATAGGATTAGTTGGAAACCCTACAAACACGAATCTCCTCATAATATTCACCAAAATCAGGAAAAGACGGCTCTCCAAAAATGGAATCACAATAAAATCTTCCTTTCACCCCTTTGGATCACTTACACACATGAAAACATGAATACATTTGACAACAAGAACAACAATTGCTCTAACTCAATAAGGTAAGGTGATCCCACATCATTTAGCCAAATTATATAATTTTGTACATTCTATACCTACTTTCACTTCAATATAGATTTATTTTATCTTTTTTTTCTTTCTTTTCAAGTGTTTGAACAGTTTAAATTTGGCCATGTTGGAATGTCTACCAATGCAATGACTGGTAAATGCAAAGAAAAAAAAACCATTAATAAAAATTTCACATTAATTTTGGGCAGATTTTACCATCCTTCTGGTTTCAAAAGTGGGCATAACTTGAAGTATCTCAGGCGGTGGGAGACAAAAACTAACTAAACCTACAGTGTTAGGCTTTTTTAAAAGCGATGCATGATCCAAAATCGCTGAAAGTCCACTCTTTCATACAAAAGGGTGCCAGTGGCAGTCTTGGGTTTATATTTTGTATATCCTGGAATTTAGGCATCGTTTCATCACTTGCTGCTACCACAATGTCGTGTCATTGAATTTTTTTGTCACAAAGGTTTCATTCAACAATAGTAATGGGAAATAAAATAAAAATAACTACTATTATTACAGTATCTTATTAACAACATTATATACATGCTTTTTTCTCTTTCTATTTCACTATACATATTGCATGCTTTGCTGCCTCCTTGTTTACACTGCACCCAGTCACCTCATCTCCCTAGTCACTGCCCTCAATTGTTTTCTGCCTCCTTTTTCTTGATAGACGACAGAAAGAACCAAAAAAGGAGAGATAGCTGAGATAATTTTCTCAATTATTATCATTTATGTGTTTATTATCAATTGTATGGCAAAACATAAGTACCCTTTACTCGCTTTTAAGGCAAACAACCCACCATAAGAAAAAACCTTGAAAGGAAAAGGCAGTTTGGAAGTTGGAAAATGATGATTTACGCATATGTTAAAAGGGACTAACACTAATCCTCCATATTGTTGTCAATTTTCATTTTTGAAAACTAAAGAAATCACTACATATATTATTGAAAATGCTCAAACTCAATCGCCCATGCCCCAATTACGTACACACATAAATCAAATTATACAAACAAAAAACCTGCAATTACTAGAAGCAAAGCCAAATTGTTCATTTTCACACATCACAACCACATACTGTACATGTACGGATGTACCAGAGTCTTCTAAACACTCACGTGGAAACAAGCCAAACTTCAACTACAGGATTTGATCAAAGATGGACCTCCCCCCCCCCCCCCCCCAAAAAAAAAAAAGAACAAGAGGATGCTCTTCCATAAATGTACATGAGTACATCCCAACCCCTGGAAACTCGTCTTCATGCTCTAGGGAGATTAATAAAAAGACATGATGTGTTTTCGAGGTAACGAAAGAAGACAAGCCATAAAATCAAAGGGAGAAAAAGAAACAGGGTAGATAATGGGACCCAAGTTCACCTAACGCGCATGCACTAAATCCATGGGGGCTATCAACACATCCAGAAAAGGGGGGCCTCGTTTTACAGCACAGACCATCACTAGCAGCCTCCCCATGCGTTCAAAGCCTTGGTGACTTTTTCTTCCCTAATAAATCCCAACGAAAAGCTAAAAAGATAATCATTTCTGGTCAACAAACAAAAACACGTCTTTTTCTTCACCCCCTTCAAGCAAAAAAGCCAATAGCATCCCGTTACTGGCATCACTAACCCTTATTGGCCCATTATATACAGCATACAGCTCCTTGACAAAGTAAAAGATGACAAACTGAGGACCCCGCAGAGCAAAAGCCGGTGTAGTGATTTCAAACTCATCAATCATTCAAAGTAAGAATTAGTTCTTTCTCATCCTTCTTTCCCACCACTTAGCCAACAAATTACTACAAAGAAGGGAGTGCAACTTTAGTAGTGGTTCACTCCTAAAGTTTTGGCTTCGAGCTTTAAAGACTTCAAGTAATCTATAGACTCGTCAAGGACCAACAATGGGTTCTTTCCTTTTGCACCAGGTATTATGCTCTCGAGAATTTTTAATGTCAAGCGAATCTTATCCTTCTTTGACTGCTTGCTACGAAACCTGGAATCCATGTCATCTCTTTGATTCTTTCCAATGCCGTAGCTTGATTCTGCATCACTATCATACTCGTGAGAGCCTTTCAATTTCCCAGAACAAGCAGCATCCACCATTATTGATTGCTTATGCCCACCATTAAGCAGTTTTTGCCTTTTGTTTGGACCATCAGAGCTAGCAACTTCCTCCATTATATCATCAACATGGTCTTGATTCAGGTAGTTTCGTTTAGTTCCAACAGGAGAGTGATCGGAACTTATTACTTCATGGTCATCATCATCTTCATCAGAGTATAGCAAGGCATTGAGTTCTTCAGTGTCTTCATGCACCTCACCCTCTTCAGCACTCAAATTGTTCTCATCATATTCCTCATGTAAAGTTGGTGGTGTCGGAGTAAAAGGATTTGTTTTAACTGCTCGGCCTTCATGCAAATCAGGACAAGAAGCTAGTTCGGTAGTGGCAGTGGTAGCATACTGAGATGGAGGGTGAACAGAACCATAAATTAACCTTGTCTGACTTGCTGACTGATCAAAAATTAACAGTCCTTTCTGCAAGGAGCCAGAGACCACCTTAGCTGTAGCCCTACCACTCTGGCCCTTAGCAATCATGAATTGCTGTTCGTTGAGATATGTACCTGGAGAGGGTAATGAAGTGGGGAAACAGGGGCATAACTGCCGAAGCAACTCAAGAGAATGATATTTTTGTTCTGTTTTTAAAACAGAAATATCTGCAGACCCTGGCATTGCAATATTTGCAGGAAGCATATGAATGCCAGGATTTGTACCAGGAACTAGAGACCCTTGCATTGACATACTCCCAGAAAAAAAGTGAGTGCTGGGATTTATACATACAGGCAAGCATTCTGGTTGCCTGGGCTGTAATGATGTGCTCATGCAACTTAATTTGGGCAGTTGCCTAGAAGAATGCTGAGGGAAAAACCAAGAATTGTTGGTCTGAACCATCCAACTAGAACAACCACCTGCAGATGACAAATGAGAAATAAATTTTTTATCCCAGGAAATGAACCAATAAACTAGCAGCAATGAAAAACAATATGGTGTAACCATACCAGAAGATGGACAATGCTCAATCTTGTATTTCAATTCTTTTAACGCTTCTTTGATGAACAAAAGTTGAAAACAAAAACCAAAATTTCCCGCTTGACAATATACCACATATATGGAATCAATCTACGTGACAGGTTTAAGCAAATGACGGAAGTACTCGGCCTGGAAAACAGCAAAATTTACAGGATATCAATTTAAACAACCATTCATAAAAATGATTAATACAAAGAATTAATTGGAGGAGCAGTTAACCAGAGGAAAAAAATAAATAAAACTAAATTGAAGAAACCTGGCAATCCTCCATTGGTTGAAAGCATGCAATTATTCTAACTACAATTGTTGGTCTTCCGGCAATCCCATTTTCATATTTTAGTGCTCGAAATCTTGTTTGACTCGCTGCTTGGCACACCATAACTACTTCTTTCCCTTGGATTAACCACTCCGATCAATATAGGATGAGAACAGAAACAAATGCCACAAATAATAAAGCAAACCAAATCCACAGAGGTATAAGACCAATAACAGATCTAACTTGTACTTAAGAAATGGTATGAAATCAAGAAACTGGCAGAAGGAGCTTGGGTTGCGACTAATACTTAACTTTCAATCTTTCTAACTAATCCTATATTGATCACGAAAAAAGACAAAAAAGTGGATAGATCCCATCGAAGATTGAGCAAAGCTGATAGAAAATTATGGTAAAGTTGAGAAGAGGTAAATTTTACAAAATAACTCTGCAGTATAAATTCAAGCGCACAACCTTGCGGAACACATCAACCAAGACACTCAACCAAGGCATGTTGTTTCCCTTCTATGTTTCCCCTATGTTCTTACTTGTACACAACCCAATATTTTCTGCAAAACAAAAAGCTGTCATAAGGATAGAAGCATGACCACAACAAATAAAAAAATATATAGGGCATAAATAAGTAAATCAAAACAGGATAATCCTCTTGTTTGAAGAGATATTGCAAGAAATAAGGAACAAAAATTTAAATCTTAGACTGCTCAACAATGCTAATATAAAATAAAACAATCATAATGAATCATACGTTTTCTTTCTTAGAACAGAAAAGCTTGTCACATAAAAATTCCAATTTCATTTCTCTTCCACCATTTCTTATATGAGCATTAACAATCATAACATTCGTTTTTAACAACCCAAGAAGCTTTTTCTTCAAAATTTTCTTAACAACCAAATGATTAGTCAGAGAAACCTACATGGAAGAATAAAACATTTAAAACCCAGAAATAATATAGGATATGAAAACCTTTTCCTTTTCTTTCTGAACAAGCAGGGGAGAAGACAAGGCCATCCAGCTATAGGTAAAGAAACAACATAAAAGAACAAGCCAAGAATGAAAAGAAAAAAAAAAGAAAGAACTCTGAATATAGCAAACTTACAGAATCAGCTAGCCTTAATCTGGTGGGATCCAAGGGACAGAGATAATCTGAAGACAGGATCTCCAAACTGGGAGAAAAGAAAGAGAAACAAAGACAACAGTTAATGCCCAAGACCCTGAGAACATATAGACAATTTGGATGCCCGGTTTACCCTTTCTTTGGCAATTATTGCTATACTTTTTTAGTGGTTCTAAATTGTAAAACTCCTTTCCTTTTTCATTCACATTGTTTTTAAATTATTTTATATAAAACTACTTAATTATCTTTTTTCTCTTTTTTCTTCGCATCTCCTTCACTTTCAAGTTTTTAAATTTGCAAATCTAAAAACATTAAAATTTTTTGAGAATTTTTAAATTTAAAAAAATTTTAGATTCACATATCCGAAAAAATAAAAATTTTTGTCATTAAATAAAAAAAAAAGTATAAACCCACATGTATAATTTTTTTTATATAAATTTATGCATTTTTTTAATTTATCAAATATAAAAATATAATAAATTTTATAATCTATTAAATATGTATATCCAATAAATTATTTAACTTTTTTCTATATATTTTTTATAAGTTTTACTAATATTAGATAAATTTAAAAAATATACTAAGAATATATATATTTAAAAGTTTTAAATAATTTAAATAATTAAATAATTTAAATAACTTTAAAAAAAGTTAGGATAAAAAAAAAAAAGTTTAGAACCCCACTACAATTTTTTTTACTGTTCCAGTACAATACCATGGAAGTGGTTAAAGTAACCCTTTTGTGTAAGTCTTTTGTTTACCGTCGAGGGGTTGATAACTTGATGTCTTTCTTTTTGGGTTGGGCGAAAATTTTTAATCTTGTTAGAATTTGATTGAGTCTAATCAGACAAAAGCGGGCCGTATTTGGGCCGTCCCACTTAACTGACCCGTATATGTTATCTCATCTCATGAAATCTATCTATCTATCAATAAACTAAGATGAATTATAGGTTCTATTTAAAAAAAAAAAAACTTACAGGTTCATTTGATGTTAACATTTATCCATCAAAATATGATTAAGAAATTTTTTTTTCAAGGATATTTTTTATTTTTCATGAGAGTGGGGAAAGAGAAAGGGGAATTCTCAAAAATTGATAACATCCATCAATTTATAAAAATGAAAAAAAAAAGACATAAAATGATAGAAAAGAGAAAAAAAATTAAAGGAGATCATAAAATCAATATTGTAACGTGAGTATTAATTCTAATAATTTAAAAATATATTTTTTTAATATGCATGTGATGTTTAAAATATGAAAAATAATGTATTTTAACATAAATTTTATCTCCTTCATATCAAAATTTAAATTCCAAACTTTTAAAATAGAATTTTAAACTCTAATGATTCAAATTTATTTTGAAAATATCAAACTCTCACCCTAGACCGCTCATAAAAAAATTACAAAATCTCTGGGAGTTGAGTTAATGATGCCATTGTTATGAATCTTACTTTGAATTGTGAGGCTTTAACCAACTATGCAATTCTCAATGATTTTTTTGTTTGTAAATGGAATTTTCAATAATAGCAGTCTCCTTTTAAAAAACAAAAAAAAAAGCTCAAAGCATGGAACATTTATAGATGTTTTGTATTGATGATAATCGTAAGAAGTTGAACGGCAGAAACAAAAACATGTGCGATTCACTCATTAGCAATCTAAATCCACTTATTAGCAATCTAATAAGCTGATTACCCGACAACCAAGTTCTTTGTTTTTTTTTTTTTTGAACAAATTCAAACCGGTCCATGACCCACGAAAGAAGGTGCCGTGTCACTTGGTGGGACAATGTAGAAATTTTGCAGGACTCAATCAAGTACCAGCTCGCTCTCTCTCTCTTTCAAGTTTTTTCCGGAAAGATTTTAAATGAATTTTTTTTTTAAATTCGTAAAATTTTTTGATAAAATAGTGTGAATAAAAATAAAATAAAAAATTTTCATTACCAATATCAAAGGTGTAAAATTAAAATATTGTTAATAAATTTTTATTTTTTAGGTAAATATTTCCATTAAAAATTTTGTTAAATTTTTTATTATCAAATGAATACGAATCAAATTTATATTATAAATAATATTTATTTTTTTATTTTTATATATTATTAATTTTTTCATTAAACTCATTAATCTATCAATTTAATATTATCCATATATAATGTTAAGATGTGAAAATGCAAAGATATTTGCACCTGCCTCACCAAAATCTTGTGGATAGCCATAACGTATTAAACTAGCATTTCAAGAGCATATGTTTTACATGAAAAGAATAAATACTAGTGATAAATAAGGTTTCCAATAAGAAAATCTAGTAATTTTCATAGGAATTTTAATTTAAAACTTTCAAGTTTGTGTTATGGAAAGAAGAATATAGGAATTGGGAGATACAAGATAATGAACTCTGTTATGTAGCTCAAAATTTAGAAATCTCTTTATTTATCAATATAAATTTAATTGAGTTTCATCCAATTATTTGTTAATTTATAGGCTGTTAAATTTGGTTTATGGATTTCATTTTTTTTCTAATGTTTATTAAAAACTATATAATTATAATTATAATTTTTACTAAAAACATGTAATTCCCTAAACAAGGACGAATTAAAAAAATAAAAAGCAAGAATTCTTTTTAATTATAAATGGAGGGATGAAAATACAAGTAATACTCAACACAACCACACTTAGAAAGCAATAATAATTATAATTTTAAGACAATACCAACCGACTAACTTAGTTACCTAGTTTACAATACAAGCAGCGCCAATGAAAACTTCAACATATATTTTTTGTAATTTCGATCGACAGCGTCAATGATTCAGTAGTATTTTAACCTAGAAATCCAATAATGGAACTGAAGGTAGTGTAATGGTTCAAGGGGTAGTGGTTGAATAAGATGGGATAAGCTTAGGGTCGGGGATGTCCTTTTGCACGAGTTGGCACGGTAGGCAAAGCGAACTTAAAGATAAATTCAGGCAATTTGGGGCAGTTCAGGTTCTAGCAATTCAGGGAATTCAGGTAAAGGTGGCAATTTAACCTTGGGAAATGGCATGCAGTAGCTCAGGCAATTCAGGCTTGGGAAGTTCAGGTATCGCCGGCAAAGTTACTTCCAGAAGATTTCGTCAATAAGCAAGGATGTTGTGGCCGCTAATGGACCAAAATATCAGTAGTGAGACGCCATGGTTGCAGGTGCAACAGAAAAAAAAAAAAAAACTAAAAAGCTTTAGGCAAAAAACAGTGTAACTTTTCCCAGATCCTACGACTCTGTATATTTGTGCATCAGTGTTTCATAGATGCAGGAAGCAGAAAGTAGGAAGATTTTGAGAAATATTGTTGGTGGGAAAGCATGTCATGTCTAAGTAGTTTCAAAAGCTTAAGCATTACTTCCTGTACGTACATAATTATATCTCAATATTCAGCCATTCAAATTTAATCTCTACTTTATAATTTGCTGCTTTCATATTTCCTCTGTGTTAATTCACGAAAACAAGAAGGATTGATCAAATTATGAATATTGAATTTGACTCAAATTCTCACATTACTAATTTTTTTTATTAAAAGCTGAGCATACCAATATCAAATGATTCAACAACTAAAAAAATTTTTTTTTTAAGTGATCCTTACATTTACTTGTTACGACGATAAACTGTACTAAGATATTAGAATTATATGGAATTTTAAAAAAAAATGATTAAATCAGTTTTAACTAATTAACAGTTAGGTTCAAACTGAACAAGGTATTATATTATTATTATTATTTTCTAATTACACACTATAAGTGAAGTATGATAATCTTTTTTGATACATACGGAAAAGGTATGAGAGGGAGAGATTCAAACACTTGGATCTCAATCTTCCTAGAGAGAGTAATTGGTAGGTCAAGTATGAGTTGTTAAATGAATATGAAAAGTTTCAAATTAATACTAAAAGATAAAAATTAAAATTAATTAATTTTATATTCTACCATATGACAATGTATAGATTTACGTTCTACATATTACACGCGA